TAGCCCCACTGCAAGTGTTAATAAAAATGTTCCCTGCAGTCCTTTAATCCTTTGTTAGGACAGCCAGTGTTCAAACTGATAATGAGATCTGCCAGCACAGTATAGACAGGGTTCATTAAGAGTAAACAGGACTACATAGGGAGAAGCTAGGTGGGATTTTAAGTAAAAAGAGGTGAAAAATATTCAAAATGATTGCTTACTTTTTTTAAGCTATGCATGTGAATGGGGACGTGTAACAAATATAAAGTACGTATTATCCCCATTTGGCTACAAAAGTGAAAATACACTTTAAAGCTGAACTTCAGGATACGCAAGCATTCTCCAAATGCAAGAGACACGTGTATTCCTAGTTGAACCTCGTTGTGCGTTGCTTTCAGATCTATGCAGTAATGCAAGAACTTCCTTCAATATAGACTGGGCTTTCAAATTGATGCATGCAAAGTGGATTCACATCTTTTGTGACTGCAGAGAAATAGATGACGGGTTTTTCTTTATGGTGGCCTTCAATTAACCTGTGCTTCATTTTAAACCTGAACGTCAGGCAGGTATAAAAGATACAGATTAATACTGTAAAGACATCAGCATAGCAGCTATAGCAGGGACCCAGAAGACACTAATACACTCAGGGGTGTGGACATTATTATAAAAACTACTTGTCCAAGGACTAACACAGGGACCTCAATCTACTTGTCACTCAGGACAAACCGTATTTAAGCGTGCTAAGAAGCTCTTTTCATTGATCACTAACAATGTGCACTTACAATTTGTGAGCGAAATTCAAGATCCATGGTTTGCAGTGTGGAAGTGGAATGGGGGGAGCACTCAGTGCACACATACAATGCCCTACGCATATGTTTACTAGAATGCAGATGGCGGGGTTCGTTTTAATTTTAGTTTTTTTAAATATTTCTCATTATCTTTTACTTCTTTATTTTATTATTTTTTACTTTATCAATGTCTTCTTTTTCACCTAACTTTATTGCCATCACTTTATTGCTATGTGATAGCATTTGGAGGTTACAGGTTCTTTTTAATGAACCGGGTACCTCCAATATAGGAGTTGAACACAGCACCTTGCTCGATCTCCTGTGACAGCTGAGACAGGAAGGCAGAATTACCAGGTAACTAGCCATCATTTTTTCACAGATATCTTCCAGGACAGCATGCTAGAGAGAAGTGGGAGTTCTCATTGTGGCAGTTTAACCAAATTAAGAAAATTATTTACCTAGGAGAAGTCTAAGCAGAAAAATAAAACTATTTACACTAAACCAACCGTCTAAGAATACATGAAATAACACTTAAAAAAGATAAAAAAAATCTAATCATAGAGTCACTGACATTATCTATTTTTCTTATAGAACATACACGTAAAACTAATACAAAATATATATTCATCATGCAGCACATTCTATGTCCAAGCTGAGGTCCAAAAGAGTAAAAAAAATGTTTAACAAGTTCATATATAAAACAATAAAAGTTATACAAGGCATAAGCTAAAACAAAAAGGAGAGAATGTTAAAACATAAGAAATATTTTGGGTTGTAAGTAAAAAGTAGCTACAAAAGAGGAGCCACAATGCGGACGGAAGCTTCAGCTTCATTGTAAACATATAAAAGCATTTACTTTAGAGGCCTAAGCTTTAAAGTACACATAAAAAGGACACCATGTGTACTGAATAGCTGCCCAAGTATGAGGCCTGAGATGAAAAGTATATCAGCAGTGACCTCTCAAATACAGAAACAATATATACAACAGCCATTCCCAACATTTATACCCTAGAGGGGTAAAATACATTTCCAGGTCTAAAGAAACCCCTTCTAAAAATGAGATATACAGCTCTCAATTATCAATATCAAGAAATAATAAAGACTATTGCATATCTTGAGGATTTAACACCCATGGTGGATCATTATTACCACTAAAACACTAATAATTAATAAACAGCATGAATAGGACTGTATGTCTGCCAGCCAGCACCTCCCATTGTCAGAATACATGAACAATGACTGCAGCTGATTGGCTGCAGACAATGTGAGGCTGAGTAATCCACTCAACACAGCCACACTAAAACTTCTGGCCGCTTCCTGTCAATATGGAGTAAATGAAACCAGTCCTAACCAGATAAACGGCACTTACACACCCTTTTATTAGGTGGGTTAGGGACACATAGTGTTAAGGGTATGGTGATTCCCAGCACCCAACGCCCAGGACATGGAGTTCCGGTCGCAGGGCAGGTGGATTTTGCTCTACATTTACTCACAACGCTTCCTGTCTCAGCTATCACAAGCCAGGCTGCACAGGAGATAGAGCACAATGTTGTACTTGATCTTCTCTGTTGGAGGGCATGCTCCATAAAGAGAACCATGTCATAGCAATAAAGTTAAGTAAAAAAAATTAAACCAACCCGCTGTCCCCACGCGAATGGGCATTTTGTCTGTGTGCGTCGAGTGCTGCCCCCATTCCACAGTGTGCCATATTGTCGTAGCCAGGCAGCAGCGCTCTCTAACAAGAACAATGAGCATTAAAGGGCAAGTTCACTTGGGAAAATAGAACTACTCGCTCAAATCTAGCCCTCCCCCCACTATTATACTCATCCTTGCAGTGAATGGTCCTTCCCCTCCACCGATACGGGTGCACTATCCGTACCCCCATCCAGCGCAGCCCTGTGCTAAACATTTTTAATGTTGCTTACAAATTGCGAGCATTGGTCAGCGCTGACTAATAGGAAGCGCTTCTTAGCACGGTTAAATACAGTTTTGGTTTAAATTATTTTTTTTGTATTGGGACGAGTGGATCGTGACGAGGGACGAGTGGATCGTGACGAGGGACGAGTGGATCGTGACGAGGGACGAGTGGATCGTGACGAGGGACGAGTGGATCGTGACGAGGGAATCGTGACGAGGGACGAGGGAATCGTGACGAGGGACGAGGGGATCGTGACGAGGGACGAGGGGATCGTGACGAGGGACGAGGGGATCGTGACGAGGGACGAGGGGATCGTGACGAGGGACGAGGGGATCGTGACGAGGGACGAGGGGATCGTGACGAGGGACGAGGGGATCGTGACGAGGGACGAAGATCGGCACGAGGGACAAGTAGATCGAGCCCCTGCTTTAGTCCTTAGACAAGCAGTTTTTTTTTTTAAACATTTCCACACCCCTGTAATACCACCAACCTTACAAACACCCAACCAACTGCATTACACTTAACTGTAACCAAATACTATGCAACTAAGCCATACTACCTGCTCTATCACCCAACTAAGGATCAACGTATAACCCAAGTAGGATAGCCCTAAATCTAACATATTACTCCTGGATCATAGAACGTAAGTAACAAAACAGATTTACGCTTACTCAACAACTCTGTGTGTCTCAATTCTGCCTCATGACTGAACTGTGTTTTGACCTTGTTCTGTTGTGTACACATCTGCCCCACCCTACACCAGCGCCCACAAAATGACACGCATGGCTCCCTGTGCTAGTGACTGCAATGGGAATGAAGAGGCTGATCAGGGAATATTAACATAAAAGATAATATGAAGTAACATTAGGTGTAAATACAGTAAAGGGGGCAGGCTTAACTGGTAGTGGCAGCAGTAAGCCATGCCAGAGACAGGGCCACCCAGGAACAGTCTAACCAGGTTTGTCCTGCTTGTTTATTCAGCAAGGCAGCAGACAAACACAACTTCAATGCAGGAGGGCTTTGTACAGCACATCCATAGCATAAAACAAACAAAACATCTGCTCATCCCAGCAACTAACTAAACTCAACTCAGGTCAGTTCCTAACTAACAGGGTGCCTACTACTGGGTTCCCCAAAACGAAGGCATCGCTTGTATCTTTTCAGTCTTCTGTCAGCACTCAGCCTTTTCACCCAGCAGCAGGATCTCACAGTAGAGTGAGAGCCCTGAGCATTAGTCAGCACACATAAAGACCTGTGCACGGCTAAGACTAATAAGGTCTAGCTACTAGGTAAGACGTTTCAGAAAACAGGATTGTGAGAAAACAATACATTTGTTTCCTCAATATCAGTCATAAACCTTCTCCACGCGTATGTGAATAATCTAGGCAGCACATGTACACCATCCACAATCCTGCAAGCCAGTGCTTTCTTGGTACATACAACACAGTTTAAAAATCTCTTCGGAAGGAGCTTCTTCATCACATAAGCTTTATTTTATTTTTTATCAAACCTCCTTTTCAAATCAACTTTGCAGTTTGATGTAGTTTGATGCACAAAGGTTGCTTACACAGTGCAGAACTATGGCTTAAATACATTTCTATAGTTTTTTAGCTATAACTTTCTTAGGAGAAAAAGTAGCCAGTTGGGACGCGTGAAGCCCCCCTCAAAAGCTGGCCATACAATGTGCATTTTTTCTCAGGTGCCATTGGGCCATACACTGCGTGCAATTCAAGCAGTAAATGGCCAGCTTATCTGCAAGTGTTTTCACAGAAAGGGTTATTGTTTTTTCTGAATCTGTACTGGTTTAGGTTATGAAGTCAGGTGCAATAATATGCAGCAGAGATCTTCTCAAAATCCAGAAAGCAAATTCAGCCACACACCAAAGCTTTCCATTATAATCAACCTTATTCAAAGCACTGTCTTGGCTCCAGTCCTCCGCCCCCTCCTGGCACATTTCACCTTTAACCCTTTCGCTGCCAAGGACGTACGTCGTACGGAGCTACAAAAGTGCTTCCAGCTGGCCAGCTCAGTACGTCGTACGGACCTGGCATTTACAGTTCTACTATAAGCTGAACATCACAGAGATTAGACTTTAATACAACGGATGTTATCAGTGTGCGGCTCAATTTGCCTTCTTGACTTTTTTGCTTGGGAGCAAGGTCAGGCTCGAGGAACAGGTACCCAATGTTCCCTCCATTGCGACCAATGGACGCAGTGACAGAGCAGTGTACATGTGGGAGTTTGGCTGCAAAAATATCTTCTCAAGTACATACAATGTTACACATGGGAATCAATGCTAGAAACTGAAATCTTACTATTATGCTGCGTAGGTCTGTGAACACGTGCTACAGGCTGATTTCCCCCCACATATGGGCCCTGTGTTTTGGTACTGGAAGCGCTGGTGTGAAGTGCAGAGTCTGAGTTTGTCCTGGGGAAAGAAAATGAAAATTGTTTACACAGGAAAAAAAAAAGAGAACACATTAAGATGGCAACAAGCAGATAGCACAGCAAGGGCAAGTGAAAAGCGCATACTCAAAAGATAGGGACCAAGGGATCATGCAAGACTTTATAAACAGTGTGCATTGTGTACAATTATGCCAATGCAGATCAAAAGGGAGGGCAGCTTTGTAATACCAATAAAAGCTTTTTTTTTGTGGTCATTATCTTCTACTCACAGCTCAATTAATCATACTTATAAAAACTAACCATTTAGATGAGTTATGCATTTCTAAAAGAAAAACAGCCATTATATTGGCCACCTGTAACCCTCTCATTCTGCTGGGAACATCCTTGTGTTTTCCTTTCCTGCCGTGCTTACTGGCTCAATGTGCTGCTGCTCTTTCACTGTCCAATGTACAGTTCATAGACCGGGATACATTGCTCAGCTGCAGGGTAGGCCAAGGACCTGGCTGTACTGGTTGGTAAGTGTGCCTGAACACAAGACAGGCCGAGCAGAATTACATATTCCTTGGCAAGCAAAATAGCGAACATATATATTTTAACTGTCTACTAAGTTATTTCAGCTTTAAGAGGTACATGTCAAAACCTCAAGATAAAGATGTATCGGCACACGTCTCAAGAAATGGTGATGAATGCATTTCGCTGTCTGCACAAGTGAATAATGTCGGTTCCCCTCTTCACACACAGAAAATGAAATCCCTATTTCAGCAGCTTGTAAATACAACTAAAGTGAAAAAAAAAAGACAGTTGGCAACCGTCTCTAAACATTCACTGACAGATGGGGTTAGTAAGACCTTGATCAGAGGTTTGCTTGATAATCACGTGAGCAGTCAGATTTTTACTTGCAAAACAGCATTTTGGAAAAATATCTTCGGAATACAGACATCACAGTCATTGGAATTATTTCCTAAAGACGTAAATGCAATGGACCTCTAAAATGAATAGAAAATACATAGATATTTTTTTCTCTCCAGCAAACATCCAGAAGTATTTCAGATTTCTGATAAAACGCGTGATTTTACCAAAATGCCTGCATATTGGCTAATTATTAATAACCGTTTCTCAACACACAAATCTTCATAGGAAAATTAAACTAATTGAGAGGTTTTAAATGTTTCCTTTAGAGAATATAAGCCCTAGGATTAGAGCTGCAACAGTTAATCGATTTAGTCGATTCGTCGGCTATCGATTGATTAGCCTGTTCGGGGCTACACAAGCGGCCTGAGTCGCACGCTGCTCCCGACGTGCCCACGCCGCCGCATAAGCCATGCCCACCGCATGCTAAGGACATGCGTCTGGCCCTCTCCTCCCGGTGAGCTTCCCGACTCGCCGCTGCCCGCCGACAACACCATCATCATTCAAAGTAAGTCGAGATCAGCCGGGAGCTTTTTAATGTTTCCTGTTGTGGGTTTTTTTTTAAGCGGCGCACTGCAGAACACAAGCAGCTATAGAGGAACACCAAATCCCAGCAATAATACATTAAGCACCCTGTATAATATATTATTGCTGGGATTTGTTGTTCCTCTATAGCTGCTGGTGTTCTGCAGTGTGCAGGTGTATTATACATTGGTATTCTGTATTGCATTGTATTGTGCATGGTATTCTGTATTGTATAATACAGCGGCACACTGCAGAACACCGGCAGCTATAGAGGAACACCAAATCCCAGCAATAATACATTAAACACCCTATAGCTGGTGGTATTCTCCATTGCGCTGTATAATGTATTATTGCTGGGATTTGTTGTTCCTCCATAGCTGGTATTTTCCATTGTGCTGTATAATGTATAATTGCTGGGATTTGTAGTTCCTCTATAACTGGTCAGTGGTAATCTGCATTGCGCAGTATAATCATTATACAGCGCAATGGAGAATACCATCAGCTATAGAGGACTACAAATCCCAGCAATAATAAATTATATACAACGCAATGCAGAATACCAGCAGTTACAGGGGACTACAAATCCCAGCAATAGTACATTATTGTATAATGTTGTACGATTGCTGGCATTTGTTGTGCTCCTCTATAGCTGCTGGTATTCTGCATTGTGCCGTATAATCATTCTACAGTGCACTGCAGAATACCACCAGCTATAGAGGACTACAAATCGCAGCAATAATACATTATATACAGTGCAATGCAGAATAACGCCAGCTACAGAGGACTACAAATCCCAACAATAGTAAATTATAGTATAATGTACTATTGTTGCATTCCTCTATAGCTGCTGGTATTCTGCACTGCGCCGCTGTATAATGTACTATATTGCACACCACACTTTTTTTTTTTTTTACTTCCACCGTGCCAAGCTTGCTCCTGTGATGGACTACAATCCCAATAGAAACTAGTAGTCCATCACTGGAGCCTCTTTTTTTGTTTAAATCCGATTAACCGAACTTAATAATCGGCTAACTAATCGATGAAAATAATCGTTAGCTGAAGACTAATCTAGGATCATACAAAGCACTCAGATACTTTTAAGTGACAGGAGTTGGATCACCACTATTTTGGCAAAAATGTTTACAGCCTTGATTTCAACAATGTAGCAACAGTGAAGCTTTTAGAATTCCAGGAAATTTTAGTGCACAAAGTAGGTCATTCTTTAGTGTGCGCGTGAAGGCATGTACAGGATTTGTCTTTGCATATGAGAAGGATGCAAAATCACAAATACGCCAATGAGACAGCTATGACAAACTGGAACAGAGGCTCTGGTATGAAAATACATACTATGATGATTTCACTGATCAAGATGCCTAAGGGTTGTAAAATGCATTCATGGAAGCTGGTGCATGAGTTCAAAGGCACTCAGTACATTTTAAGAAAACCTCTTCAATCAGCTGTGGACTGAAATTAATATTGAAATAACCCGCTCCCTAGAGTTCCCTTCCTGATCCCTATATTAGCCATGGAGAAGGATTGGATCTGTATGCATAAAAGGCTTTGATTGGTTCTTCAAGCAGAGGCTGCCAATCAGAGCCATCTAGGCACACAGATCAAGCAGCTGTGGGCACTCTGATCCAAAACAGAGGAAAGGGGGTGGGGGGGCTTAGGATGGACTACAATCTCACATTTAATTTACTTTGTATTGAGCTTGTAGTCCATCAAAGGACTGATCTTGGCACAGTGACTACTTTACAACACATACAGGGACCATGGGGGACAAAAGTAGCCCCCCTCCAGAAGGCAGGACAGCGTCAGCAAAAATGCAGAGATGATTTGAGGATCTACAGCCGAGTGATACACAAATAAGATAAATTTTTGTTAATAATTGGAATGTATTTTTAAGGTTTAACTCCTGAGTTTAGTGTCACTGTAAATTATATGTTTGTACAAGTCATCAACAGCGTAATAAAATAGTTTGGGCCAAACAGGGCACCTTCATCAAGGCACCTACACGAACATTTAAAACTAAGCAATAGAAAAAAGTTCTCACAGTGCCAATTAAATTTGTGATGCAACATTCTTGCCTAAAAAAAAACCAAGAGCGTTTAAAAGATATATGAAGATTTGTCAGGTTATACAAAAGTAGCCAACCTGCCTCCTCTATGTCACGTCTTAAGAACACACTATTGTGCTGTCCTTGTATCATTGTGGGTCTGCATCTTTCGTAAAAACTATCAGTTTGCCAAAGGTTTTGCCAGCCCACCTTTCTGAACTTGACCCTGTTGGACAGTTTCTGTTGCAATGAAGCGGTTATCTTAGTGGGTGTCATCTGTTCATGTAAAGATATAAAAGATAGCTCAAGTTCTGCAATCTCTTAACTGCTTTGCAATAGTTGTAGCTTCACTTCTAAGAACAAGAAATTAATTAAGAAGATTCTAAATATAAAGTTCACACCATTTTAGAGCTGCAACAGTTATTCGATTAAGTCGATTAAAATCGACGATGGAAAACGTTGTCAACGTTTTCCATCGTCGATTCGTCGGCTAAAATTCAAATTTCCCGCTCGCCGCTGCTTACGCCCGCCGTTTACGCCACTTACGCCACGCCCACGTCGTTTAAGCCGCTCGCGCCTACGCCGGTATACCCGCTCACGCGACGCCGCTTATGCTGAGAACCAGCAGCTATAGAGGACTACAAATCCCAGCAATAGTACATTATAGTATAATGTACTATTGCTACATTCCTCTATAGCTGCTGGTATTCTGTACTGCGCCGCTGTATAATGTACTATATTGCACACTACACTCTTTTTTTACTTCCACCGCGCCAAGCTTGCTCCCGTGATGGACTACAATCTCAATAGAAACTAGTAGTCCATCACTGGAGCCTTTTTTTTTATCTGATTAATCGATTAATCGAACTTAATAATCGGCTAACTAATCGATTATGAAAATAATCGTTAGCTGCAGCCCTACACCATTTTATTCTTGTGTTCAAATTGTCTAGCCATTGGTTGATTTCTATTCTTCTGAATCCCTTCGGAGTCTAAAAGGTCTGTAATATTCAAACATTTTTAGCCGCCTCCCCTCCTTTAGTTGCTTCAGGTCTCTCAAGAGGTCAGTAGTGGTATCCCAGTGGAGAGATAAAACACAAAGAAATGTACTGGTATGCTTTATGTTCCAATCTGAATGGCAGTGAAAAACCCCAAAGCGGAGGAATGTCTATGAAAAGAGAACCAGTCTAACTATAAAAACAAGACCGTGGCAGTGCATTTCACAATTTATCATTTTAGGTCAGTAAGCGTAAGGGAATGATGGGTTTTTAAACCATACCGGGGCAGTAACTGGGGGTGCTGGCTCTTAGGCCTCATTCACACGAGAAAAAGCCAGCACATACAGCTCCGTGCACGGCCGTATTGTGCAGCTCCCGGGAAGGAGAGGTGCTGCGTGTGATTAGTACGCAGCCCCTGTCCTTCTCTATGGGAGTAAGTGGCTGTATGCCGTCCTACACTCACCCCAAGTGCAGGTGTCCGTACTCGTATGCTGACAGGATGGATCCTGTCTGCATACGAGCCGGGACACCTGCACCCGTACGGACCTGCACGTGGGGAGACGGCGTACGGCCGCTTACTCCCATAGAAAAGGACAGGGGCTACGCGCTAATCACACGCAGCACCTGTCCTTCCCGGGAGCTGCCCGATACGGCCGTGCACACAGCACGGAGCTGTACATGCTGGCCGATTCTCATGTGAATGAGGCCTTATAGATGGATTTACACATAACACTTGGTTGTACATCCGGGAGTATCGAATACGATCTTCTCCAAGACATGTTTCTTAGAAATGAGGCATTGCTTGGGATGATAGGCTCCAACTGTCCGTTAAACTGCTTGTACACAGCTTCTTTAGGATTCCTTTCTTGTCTTGATATTTTCTTTTTGCTCATAGGCACTTTTGCCCCTTACTGTATATGAACTTTTTTTTTCCACGGTACCTATAAACTTACCTGGCCTGGATAAGAATTGGGGATCCCCCTGTAAAAACTTAAAAAGAGAAATTAAGCCAACCCTTCTTTAGGCTTTAGCCCTCTTTTAGGTCACAGGATTACATTTACAAATATACTCCTGTGACCCAAAGCTCAGCAAATAGCGGGCTACTGCCTGCTATATGCTGACATCGCAGAGCTGCACTGTAGCCAGGAAGGATCCTGAAAATGTTGTTGGGATGTACCCTGCTGTCGATTGACAGCTGTCTCCGCCTCTCCAGAGCCAGCTGTGCCCACCCCCTCCCGGCTGTCCCTCCAATGAGGGCTGGAGGAGCAGAGAAAGGGGGAAACCCTGCAGGGGAGAAGCCGTGAGCTCTGCGATCAGCGGTTTGCGATTGCTCAGTTCTTGATCTATAGAGCCGACGTGTGACAGCTGCAGTATCACACCAGCTTATACTATCGGGAAGATTACATTTCACACTCCCAATACTTCTTTAATTATCCACACACCAAATTGCTGATTTAATACTGGATTGTGTCTTTTTTAAACACATTTTGGATTTACAATGTATATAAACACTTACTTGGGAACAAATACGTTCAGGACGTTTGGTTTGTGTGTATGCCGAGTTTTCATGGGGATTAGACTGCATAGCCCCTTTAGTGTCAATCAGGTCTCTGAATGGTTCATTCATTTGTGATTTGGAATAATTATGCTGTCCGATTGATTAACTCAGTTATACCGTATTACCTTTTTTTAATACATATAAAAACAGTGAGAAAAAAAAATCTTATGAAACAAGTGCAACAGGCAACACTTTGAAAATGCCTGTAAATGCTAATGTATTAACGTGCTTGATTGGAATGCAATTTCAAGTGTTGCTGGTGTGAACAAGCCCATAATGACAGAATTTGAAAGAACAGCTAAAGCTTTTATATTTCCAATCTGCCAGGTGAGCTTCTAACTCAAGTCATGTAATGCATCCAGAAAAAGGAAGCAAATTAGAGTTTAAAAAAAAAAAGATGGCTGAAAAGAAAAACGTTCACCTGTTCAGAGCAGACAATAGTCTAAATCCTGGCCGTTTCTCTTCACTCCAGGGAGCCTGCTGCCTTCAGAGACCGAAGTCAAGAAGGGGAAGAAGAAAGAATGTTTGATATCAGTTAAAAATCCCAATAGAAAATACCGCACATTATGGTTGTATGTAGTTAGTGCTATGGCGAAAGAAACAGCACTATATACAAGAGTTAATGAGCAGAGGAAAATAGGAATTATTTGAAAGAACAGAATGGAACCGTAGTAAGTGGTGAATCTGCTCGTCAGAGAGGATTCTGGGTAAGAACAGCTTTCAGATTGCAAGGTGCTGCATCCCTAACGCCGAGAGCCAGAGAAAAGGTAAGCAAGTTTTACATTCAAATTAGTGTCAGCGAAGAAACTGAAGCCTATAATTAAAGATAGGAGTTGTAGGCAAAATAGTCATTAAGGTTTCTTTTCAGTGATCATCAGCTTAAGAAAGCATTGTACAATTATTAAGAGGAAAGAGGCAGAATTACTAATGATTCTACGAAACCTGAGCCAACTACCAACACTTGTTTTATTGGACCAGTGCATTCCATCACAGGCAAGATCAGCACTTAAAAAGGCAGCACACTGTTAACCAACTAAGAAAGACAAAGCCAAGCAGTTTTTGTTGCAATGCCCAATTACTTCATTTGTTTTTTCACTAAAAGAGTTCATGGCATTCTGTTACAGGACTGCTTGTGTGAAGGTGTTATCGAACGCAGCTGGTGGTCATTGTCATCTGTGCAATGTGGGGGAAAAAAAATCAATTGCACAAGAATATTGGTGGAAAGCTGAAAATCCCGGCATTTAGTTGTGGCTTTCGGCTTCACATCGAAAAAAATTTCTTTTAGGATTTTTTTTTGTTTGTTTCTGAAAGTTCTTTGGCAGGGAAGCGGTTGCCAGTGGGAACAAGTGACACCAGGGATCCAGAGCGTGGGACACAGAGCCCAGCTGCACTTTTAACCTCTCTCACTGGAAATTACTTTATTGAGCTCATTTACTTGCCAGGGATGCTGCCTTTTACCAAGCAAAGTCAGGTCAGACTATAGATCACTTCTGCTACAGTGCAGTCTCTAGATTCACATATGAATGACGATATCCTCTGATACATAGGAGGATGAACATTGAGTAAATAAACTATATCAATGTCTCTGGTTTGTGGATCAGAGATAATAAAAGAAAACCCATCCCCTTTTAAATAATAAGGTTATATCTCAAACTGTGGTTTTACACTAGAAGTCCCAGCATGACTACTAATGGTCTCCCTGCATCTGGATGCCTAACTACTAAAAAAAAAAAACTTTGCTAAGCGGTAGGACAAATATTGGCTTCTTTTGTCAATACGCTAATAGCTAAAAACATAAACAAGTTGTAAAATGGCCCTCTTGAAGGACCCACTTTTTTGTTAGAACTTTATTAAAATGTCACAAGTGATATTTCATTAAGTTCTATGGGCACAGCATGGTGTTGATGTACCGCGTCACACTGCGCTGAATGCACTGCATGCCACACTTTTTTAAGTGCACACCACTGCAATGTGGTGGTGTAAACCGAGTAAATGTGAAGCACAGCAAATTGCCTCGTCTTGCATTGGGGCTGTACTGTCAAAAATGGCCACCGCAGCCCAACGCACCTGGTGTGAATGGGATCTTAAGGCCCCTTTCACATGGGCTGATGAGGAGGGGCTCCGAGTACGAATCCCACCACCCTGATCGGAGAGGTATGGATTGGATGTCACAGCTGTGACATCTGTGTCCATCCAGTTTTTTGACCTGCCCCCATGTTAGTCTATGGGGAATCGGACGTAAGCAGACATGTGTCCATTTACATCAGATCACCCCCGATCCGGTTCGGCGAATCAGATCTCTGTTCTGTTTGCGTTTCCGGACCTAGTCTGAGACTGAGGGGGTAACCGGATGTAAACAGGCACCCATCCTCCGTTTACACACGGCTGTCCATAAACTAGCATTGGGTATCCAGTTGGATCTGCCTAAAGAACTGACAGGCGGACCCGCTCAGACCGCCTCTGCAAAAGGGGCCTAACCTTTTTCCATGATGGCTTGCAAACCTTCTTGAAAATTAAAAGGGTTAAATGTGCCATGGTACTGCTCAATAAAAGTAAAATTTAATATAGACAGTTGTATAGTCAGACCACTCTTGAAGCCCATAGTCCTTTTCGATGACCCATAGAACATGCGCATCTACTTAAAAGTTTTACAAAATAGGTAGTGGTTGCTAGTAGCTCATTCATTATCTGGGCCTATGATGGTGTCTACAGCCTGGCAACAAACGTTCCCACATGGCTAGTTGACCAGCAATACTGAAAAATCATCCTGTTTGTAATTACATCCATGATAAAGAAATGGTAATACTTCCCCACAGGCAAGCTGTCAGGGGAAGAAAACTGAAAAGCACTCTGGAGAATATACAGGCTTATGTCTGGGAATGGCGAAGATCTGACAAAAAACAGCAATTAATAAAGACCTCTATGCCATCACTGTGGATAAAAGAAAGAAGTGGGGATGCAGACCAGCTCCAGATTTATTTTCTTCAGACAAGGTGAAACTTTCAGGAACTGCACCCAGTGACCCCATTTTGTTTTTCTGTTACTAAAAGTCGATTCAAAGCTGCCAAAACCAAACCACAATCACCTTTCTGGTATACATCAGCACATACAGTGTCCCTTTCCAAGTGTACAGAACAGTTCTGATTTACTATGAATAAAACTAGAACCTCAGCCAAAGTCAATCCATTTTATACTCAAGTCTACACAGATGACTAGAGCTACACTTCAAATGAAACACACTTAACATCTGGATACAAAGGACAACACACTCTTCGAACACAAGTCTGGCCACAAAGTATGTATGCAAGATGCTACAGCTGTAGCTGTTTAATACTGACATGAAGATAGAATGCAAAGTTTAATGCAGAGAAAAGGATAGAAATGGAGAGAGAAATGGTTAGTGCAGGAAATATGAACACAGAAATTGGATGCAGAAATGGAAAGGATTTCAACAGTTACAGTGTTGCATATTATCAAATACAACCACCACCATATTATCAAGAAAAGAAATGACCAAATGTCCCACAAAGCCCTGAGCAATATGAAATTGCAAGCATTCCCCACTTCGATTAAAATTGTAAAAATAATCTCACCATAAATGTAAGCCCATCACCAATTAGGTGCCCATTCCCCGAAAATGGACCTACCATGGCCTAGAAAGTGTGTAAGGTAATCATACCACTGAAGTGCAGCTCCTTGTTCGTCATAAGGAACCTATTAGCATCAATACCTTTTTACTTCTGTTTGTCTTAAGCTGATCTAATGAACATGTCAAGTTGACTTTAAACTACCACATCCGGACTTCACAGTACAGCTTCAGGTTGCCAATATTACTGTGGTTAATTAATCTAGATGACTTTGGTTCCGAAGGCCATAATTTGAGATTCTGAACCAGAAGGTTCATAGGAATATGTGCAGATACTGGACTATGAAAACATGACAGCTTAGGCAATTCACTTGCCATATGCCAGCATTCTGAACCATATGGCAGTGTTAACAAGACGTAGCTTGGTATAGGTGATACAGTAGAAACTCCAAGTACTGTTCACCTTCATTTCCCACATTGTTAAACCATATTTTTAACAAAATATCCAATTAGTTGAAAGTATCTTTGGCAAGCCTTGGGTAATTTTACTAATTCATGTGAATGGAAGTAAAAGAGAATTTCATCTTCTATCCCACCTGACAAAAGGTGAATAAGTGATAAGTCTTCTCTATCGCATGGCATTGAGATAGAGATAACTCAATCATTTTGGGTGCCTCATTAAGTCTGATGTCCACAGTGCTTTTCAACCTTTGTCAAATGGGTTATACATCATACACATTCATCCTGCACCTTGTCTTTAATGTGCAGATCTCTAAAACTCATGCTTTAAGAAAAGCTGATGGAGCAAATTGTAATAGGTTGTACTATATGTGATGATAAAATAAGCGGTCATTATGTGTCAAAGACTAGCCCCATGCCTGCTATCAAAAGTCGACAAAGTTAATGTACATTTGTCTTAGCAAGTCCATCCACTGTTGGATAATTCGAGTGAAGCTCTAAAAAGAAAAAGCTCTACAGACTCAGATTTGCCCTTTATGATGTCATCTAATATTTAGGGTTGTGAACGAGAATAAAGATCGGTGGCAGCAAGCTCACAGGGTCTGCCATACATTAAAGCGGACCTTCCCACCCCTTTCCTCACAACATGAAGGAATATGAAAAATAAAAAAAGATCTTTTAGTAATATTTTTCTTTAATTGCACTTCTTGGTATACACAGCAGCTCTCTAGAAAGGAAATGCCTTCCAGGGAGATTTCATTTGTAACTGCAAGATCAAAATGCCTTTTCCCTGAGATACTACAAGATTTCACAAAATGACTTGAGATCTTGGGGAAAAGGCTTCCCCCCCCCCCCTCAATGGTGAGATCTTGCGGAGACATCATTGGTAGGCTTGTAGAGAATAAGGAAGACTATGCCATCCATGACTTTTGTTTTTAAAATGGCAGCACAGGTTTCCGTCTCACAGAAGGCGCATCTAACTCTGATTATCCTACTAAGATTGCGTTCATTTAGTCAAGTTTATTAAGCAAAGGTAGGTGATGTCCACTTTAATACGGTCAAACCCAGGAGCCAATACCTTTTTTTTTTTGTTTCAAATGTCAAAGCTGCTAAAATTTTATTTTTGATTGGCAGTGCTCTGTTGAGTTCAGGTCTGTTTTTAGCATCCTAGGTTTTGGCTTCCTCCCCAGGAGGTCTGTTTAACATTTAACTTTAACTGTTCCATCAAGCAGACTACGTTTTCCTCATTTATAAGAAGGCATCTCTAATTGCAGGTAAAGTGGGTTTGCTCTTTTTCCAAACCAGTTGAATTATTTTGTGAATAGTGTACACAGGGCCTTGAAATCTGTGCAAGTCAGTAGTAAGCCCGGCCCCTTCCTGGCATTAACCCCCACCCCTGTCCAACTGTCAAATGCATATGCCTCTACTTTCTACTAGTTGAATGAAGGAAACCAAAGACTTCAGAGGGACACAATAAATATTTTGTTAACCATAACAAGCACTTATGAGCACCAAAGTAGTGTTTTTACTTTAGACAATTTTAGGCTACAAAATGTTTACATTTAAGTAAACCTGACAGTAATTTGAAACTACAAGGCTGCGTTGGGCTGAAGAACATCCAGCACCCAAGTTTCAAGGTGACAACGGTAGCCCAAACACATACAATGCTTGGGCCACTGCATTGCCAATTACAACGTGCACATTTAGTTCAGTTCACCATCACAGAGTGGTGCTTGCCAAGGCCTGTAACTACCTGCCAAGTGCATCGTTTGAGATCTTTTGAGAGACTGCATTAAAATACCCTTGAAGGCTAAAGTTCAGTCCAAGGGCAGGGAACACAAGAGTCCTGCTTTACTTTAATAGCCAAAAAACCTCTTCTGCGCTCTCCCACTAATCTAGTTTCACTTTGATACTAAGGTGCTTTAATAGACTGGAGACGGAGGAAGGGGGAGGCAACCAATCCGCCTTAAGGTAGTCTAAACCTCTGAAAGTAGTAAAACATGGATAGACAACCAGACAACCGTAACACATACAGATCAGGCAGCAAAGCCACAAACATGAACATTCAGTTAGGCCTGATTGGCTTCATTCCAAGTGGTCAGAACTCCTGTGCAGTTCATAGACATGAGATTCTGACTGGTTTGCATGCCCTCACATCTATGCAACCCCCTCTGAGACTGATATTAAAAATTACTCCCATATCGCCTACAGTAATAAAAAATTAAAAGCAATTAAAGCCCACTCCACATTATAAACCATATAGTATAATCAGCATAGTATCGCTTAAGTTATCTAAGGAGTTAACTACACTGCTCAAAAAAAATTAAAGGAACACTTAAATCTGAGTATAGCATCAAGTCAATGAAACTCCTGGGATATTGATCAGGTCAGTTAAGTAGCAGAGGGGGTTGTTAGTCAGTTTCTTTGCTTTGGTGTTAATTAAAATTAACAACAGGTGCACTAGATGGGCAACAATGAGACAACCACCAAACAGGAATGGTTTTACAGGTGGAAGCTACTGACATTTTTTTTCCCTACTCATCTTTTCTGACTGTTTTTCACTAGTTTTGCATTTGGCTAGAGTCAGTGTCACTACTGGTAGCATGAGGCGATACCTGGACCCTATAGAGGTTGCACAGGCATGCCAACTGCTCCAGGATGGCACATCCACATGTGCCATTGCCAGAAGGTTTGCCGAGTCTCCCAGCACAGTCTCAGGAGGAGATACCAGGACACAGGCAGTTACTCTGGGAAAGCTGGACAGGGCCATAGAAGGTCCTTAACCCATCAGCGGGAATGGTATCTGCTCCTTTGTGCAAGGAGGAAAAGGATGAGCACTGCCAGAGCCCTACAAAATGACCTCCAGCAGGCCACTGGTGTGAATGCCTCTGACCAAACAATCAGAAACAGACTTCATGAGGGGGGCCTGAGGGCCCGACGTCCTTTAGTGGACCCTGTGCTCACTGGCCAGCACCGTGGAGGTCGATTGGCATTTGCCATTGAACACCAGAATTGGCAGGACCGCCACTGGCGCCCTGTGCTTTTCACAGATGAGAGTAGGGCTGCAACAACTAATCAACATAATCGATTATAATCGATTATTGAAAAAGTTGTCAACTTTTTCAATAATCGATTAATCGGCTTCCGATCAGTTGGCCCTGTTCACAGCTCCACACGCTGTGCGCCGCACCTCCTCCCCACCTCACGCTCGCCGCTGCCAGACCCGCCCGCATCCACGCTCTTCACGCCGCACCTCCTCCCCGCCTCACACTCACCGCCCGCCCACATCCACGATCGGCACAGGGACGCGGGGAGATGTAGTAAGGAGGAGCAGGTGTGGGGGGATGACAGCCGCCGATAGACAGGCCCGATCTCAGAAGCAAGTTGCTGGAAGACTGCTCAGGTAAGCCTGCACTTTCCCACACATGGTGCTCTATAATGTATTGCTGGGATTTGTATTCCTCTATAGCTGATGGTACATTGTGCTGTATATTATACATAGGAATACAAATCCCAGCAATACATTATACACTGTATGTATAATGTACTATTGCTGGGATTTGTTGTACTCCTCTATAGTTGGATAATATTCTGCACTGCGCTGTATAGAGGACTACAAACCCCAGCAATAATACATTATACAGCGCAATGCAGAATTCCATTAGCTATAGAGTAGTACAACAAATCCCAGCAATAATACATTATACAGTGGTGCAATGCCGAATACCACTGGCTATAGAGGACTACAAAACCCAGCAACAGTACATTATACAGCGCAATGCAGAATACCACCAGCTATAATGTACTATTGCTGGGATTTGTTGTGCTCCTCTATAGCCAGTGCCATTCTGCATTCATTGCTGTATAATTTTACACTTTCCATTTCACTATATTGCGCACCACACTTTTTAAAAAATGTTTTACTTCCACCGCTCCAAGTTTGCTCCTGTGATGGACTTCAATCTCAATACAAACTAGTAGTCCCATCACTGGAGCCATTTTTTAAAATGTATTTTATTGTTTATCCGATTAACCGATTAATCGAACTTAATAATCGGCTAACTAATAGATTTTGAAAATAATCGTTAGCTGCAGCTCTAGATGAGAGCTTCCTGTAACATCGTTCAGCATGACCGGTTTGGTGGTGGGTCAGTGATGTCTGGGGAGGCATATCCATGGAGGGGCGCACAGACCTCTACAGGCTAGACAATGGCACCCTGACTGCCATTAAGTATCGGGATGAAATCCTTGGACCCATTGTCAGACCGTACGCTGGTGTAGTGGGTCCTGGGTTCCTCCTGGCCCACGACAATGCCTGGCCACATGTGGCAAGAATATTCAGCCAGTTCCTTGAGGATGAAAGGTATTGATACCATTGAATGGCCCCCACACTCTACTGACCTGAATCCAATAGAACACCTCTGGGACATTATGTCTCGGTCCATCCAACGCCCACAGGTTGCACCTCAGTCTGTTCAGGAGCTCAGTGATGCCCTGGTCCAGATCTGGGAGGAGATACCCCCAGGACACCATCCGTCGTCTCATTAGGAGCATGTCCGATATTGTCAGGCATCCATACAAGCAAGTGGGGGCCATTCAAACTAATGAGTACCATTTTGAGCTGCTGCAATGAAATTTCAGCACAATGGACTAGCCTGCTGCATCATTTGTTCACTTTGATTTTTGGGGGTGTCCTTGAATTCAGCCCTCTGTAGGTTGATAACTTTTCATTTCCATCAACCGATGTGGCATCCTTTCGTTCCTAACACATTACCCAGTCCAGTATACAGTAGATATCCAGCATGATATTTTTCCCCATTGAGATCTGATGTGTTTTCAAAGTGTTCCTTTCATTTTGTTTGAGCAGTTTACATGCTTCTGTTGACACCAAAGGGGCAAATAATGCCTTCACTGGCAGCACGAAATGTACTCAAGCAGTAATAGGATTCTACAGCTGGTGAAGTTAAATTGGACAACTGAACCAATGCCAGTCTATGACAAGCTGTTTCTTAAACTGATGTCCTGAAATCTAAGCTTTGGCAAATTTCACACAGTATGCAAGGACGACAGGTTTCCTATTTCAGGTGCTGACGTCAGATCAGACTCCGTGCAGGATGTCTGCCTTTCAGTTAATCACTAGTTTTATGCTCAGAACTCAATATAGGCGATATAAGCCAACGGAATATACAAGGCACTAATCAGTTATTTACCTCGAGAAGAACCAGCTACGACTCTCCAAAGTCACATTTTAGAAATACCGGCCAAGGGTTAAAGCATGTATTTCTAAAACAGGAGAAGAGTCATAGGTTGTCTCTGTCTGATCTTACTATTTCAAATTGGATAGGACATGCCGTTCACATTATCAGCTTTAATTACATGGAGCAAACAGTGCTGATCTTTGGAAATAAGTAGTTTCTAGATACCAGATTATAATAGTGTGATTAAACAAGATAACTGCAAACATTCAGGATAATTGGCATCAATAACATAACATCAGTGGTCTATTATACCACCTCCAACCTATGTCTTGTTGCGGAGACTTGGTTTACATCACAGCTGCATTCAAGATTTTGGGAGGCAGTAATAATGGTCCTCAGCCGCTAAAAAGTGTTAGTTGATGCTTCTTTTTTAAAATCAGTATTTTCTTAAGCAGTGAACACTTGAAAGCCACACTTGAGTACACAGGCAACCTAATGAATTCTTTTAAAAAATTATGTTCAAGACAAATGTCTTTTGTGATGGATAACTAAATGAGCTTTGAGCAAAGGGCTAAATCAAGTCCAGAGAGCAATCAAATACATCCCTTCTGAAATAGGAAGACATAGTATTGGCATAATTGGATATTGTATTTCCTAGAAAATAAAGACTTGTCACACTTACCTTCTCCAGCTATTATCAGGTGGTGGGGAGAGATAAACAGATGCATAGGGAGAGCTGTCACAGTGATTCACAGTTAAGGAAAAAGTCAGCAAAGTACACAGCAACAACAAAGCATAATCAAGAATAGACCATTTAATGGTTTGGGTGGCATCCTGAACCAGGCCTCAGACATTATCCAGGCTTCTTCAGATAAACAACAAAGAGTCTGAGGGCACGGAGCCTGGAACAGGAATCCTCAGCATTTCACAGTGGGAGCTAATCTTCAATTACTCTGTAACTAAATCAGGGCAAGGTACCAAAGCAGAACAAAAGCTAGAATTATAGTGATTTGATAAGTATAAATGGGGACTCCAGAATGATTTCCAGCAATTAAGCCAAACAATAGACATGTCACTTAAAATGTAACTCGTGAACACTCATAAATCCATGAACACTTCCAGTCCCCTCTAACAGCTGCAGCACTGCCAGCCTTATCAAGTGTAACAGACATTTACAAACTACATTTCCCATCTCTGGACATCTGGCGCCATGTGACCTACTTAATAGGACTATAACCTTGTAACATTAGAGCCAGGGAAGTGGGAAAGACCTTGTGCAGTATTCTTTATCACTGCCAGCATTCAGAGGAACCTGCCTTTCTTGTAGAAAGCCAACAGGATAGCTTGCCTGCTAGGCACCGAAAAAATGATTACCAGATGAAGAATGCCTGTCACCAACAGAAAAACAAAAACCTAAAAGATTGTCATATTCTAGTACTTACCATTACCATTCTGGGAGCAACATTGTATATCTGTGAAAAGGCTACATTTCATATACAGTTCACCAAGGCTGGCTACGGGTAGCAAAATCTCTTCCCTCCGTGAAATGCTGTATGTGCAATTTAATAACAGGAAGTCTCAAAAATCTGCAGCATGCTGGAAAATGTAAGATTAGTGTTTAATGGTCCTCCTAGCAAAGCACATTCCAGTAGACACTCATGTAAACCGTACATTATCTTTTGTAGAAATAGGCGTCTCTCTGGAATGATTCCTATATATAAAAAACGGTTTCTGCACAAAACACCACTTCATGTAAAAAATAATCGTTAGCTGCAGCTCTAGTTTCAAATACTTTTAGTAGATGTTACTGAAAGATATGGTATGTGCTTGCACTGTAGATTGAAGGATAGGCACCAAAAGTAAGATGAAATCCATGTAGACATAAGTGAGACAAGACCTTCATGCTCAGATGTAATTCACACCAGTGCCAATATCTTTAGTCCCTGTTCACACTTTGGCACTGTGTAAACGTGTGCCAAAAGCACATCATGCTCTTGTTATTACTTGTCAACGGCAAACGGGCACAAACACGTGACGTGGCCCAAAACACAGGTAGCTCACAGCTGAAAATGCTGCATGAGTTTCGATGCCACATTTGTCGTGCATACAGCAAGCCAACTAAAATGAATGGGCTGATGTGCAACAACAGCAGCAAAAATGCACCTGAATGCTTATTCACACATCACAAACTGTTAGGGCAGGTTCACACCATTTTCCGGACCAGATGTGGCCTGGAAAATGGTGTGAACCTGCCCGCAGTTCCAGTGCATTTCAGACCAGACAAAATAAGACATGCAGTATTTTCTAGTCTGGGACGGACTGCGCTGGTGTGAACAGAGGCCAGAAATAGCATAGGGCTACATTAGGATGCATTTTGGGTCCAGAAACAATCTGGTCTGGTGATGATCTGGATGTGGTGTGAATGGGCCCTTAATCCTACACTAGAAAAGGAAGCCCTTGATAACTCAATGATAGGCAAACCGCTTCTAAGAAATCTAGTAAGAACACTTCCAAGGTTTGGACGGAGATATGCTTTAAAGAGATCCTATCAAGTCTGTAAAGGTTTCCCTTTCTGTAATAGATAGGGTTGCCTTAAGGTAAGTGCATCCCCAGACTGAAAATCACGAGGACATTGAGTTGGGAAGGACCTTAAAAAATATACAGAGTGTTTGTGGATTGCAGGACTAATTATTTGAGGCTGACTGGCCGTTATTACAATCCAGTGTAATATACTGGCAGGTATATTGGTGTAACAGTCACTTTACTTCCACTGATGGGTGATTATCTGATAAATGGTAATCATTATTGGAGGGAGGTTTCCCTGTATAAAGAACTACAGTAAATGAGAGCTATCTATACTAGCTTGAGTTTGGCATTTGTTAATCTATAACTATGACAGCTATAAAAATGTTGTTGTGAGCAGTTCCTTTAATCGTCTTTCACACTTTATCGGATTCGATTATAAAGAGCACAGGAACCATATTTATAGTTATTTGTTTTTGGTATTGCCACAAATTTAATGATTTGTAGACTAGATGTCAGAGAGCGGTCATTAGCTTAATGCATTTTACTCTCTCAACAATTGTTTAGAGATCACCCATATAGGAAGTGCAATGCTTGCAAGAGGTGAGTTGGCTCAGACTTCCACTGTGAGAAGAAGCAGCTAAAAGGATAAAGCTAAAGTGCACTAAAAAACAAAATGTACTTATCCTTTTAGCTCACCTTTCCCGGAAGCACAATTTACCTTGATCAGACAGCCAGGACTCAGCTGTTGGTTTACATCCAGCACTGAAAGTCATTGGAGTCCTGCCCACACATACCCATTACAGCCCCATAGACCACTCCCTGTCCCATCAAGGGACTCAGACCTGTATGGAGCTGTAATGACAACCAAGAACAATGAGGGGAATTTATCAAAACTGGAGCAGCTGTGCATAGCAACCAATCAGCTTCCCTCTTTCATTTTCAAATCTTAACTGAACAAACTGAAGATAGAAGTTGATTGCTTGCCATGCACAGCTGCTCCAGATTTTGATAAATTCCCCTCAATGTATTGTATTGCTTTTTACCAGTCCTTAGATGTGACAGCTTCTTCCCTTACTTGCACCTAGTGATCCTGCTTTATCTGTCCTTAGGTGAAAACAACCATTCACTTTACTGTAGGGCTGCAGCTAACGATTATTTTCATAATCGATTTACTTTACTGTATCTATGAAGGACAGGAAGTGTTTTGCACTACAGAAATCACCCTTTTAGCCATCTCCATAAAAAGAGAGGGGGTTCTGTAGTAGCAGAGAGAACTGGGCAGGACTGATGACAAGGTTGGCAATTTCAGTGCACAGTTATCAGCTCACTACAGGAAGTTAGGAGGTTAATGGATTTTTGGCAGTGGTAGTATCAAATGGTATGTTTTGCTTTAATAAAATAGATACAGATCAGAAAAGCTTTCAATAATGAATTTAACAGACCAAAAGGAAGCAAATAAAAAGTTCATGGTTAGGATTTACAGTCACTTTAAATACCTGTACCAAAACTAAGGATGCACCCAAATTTCAGCCGCCAATTCGACGACAATGGTACTATGGGCAAAATGGCAATAGTAAAACGGCGGAAAAAACAGTGAATCACTTCTCTCCTCTCCACTGCGCACCGGCTGCGAGCTTCAGTCTGTGTCGCCTCTGATCCCTGCTGCTCTTCCCCGCCTGTGTCAGCATAGGCAGTGGGGATCGGAGGACACAGAGCCGAATGTGAAATATTTGCTGATCCTTCCATGTACTGCTCAAACATCGGTGTGATCAATTCTGATCACACCAATGTTTGTAAATAACTGAGGACATAGTATTTAGTTACTGTATCCCCAATTATGAATGAACAGGAAGTGCTCTACATCAGTTCTTGTTCATTCATGATTGTGGACATAGTAACTGATACTCAGTTTATGAATAGACAGGAACATTCAGTAAAGAGGCTTCCTGCTCATTCATAACAGGGGCTGCAGAAAAAGAATCTCTTTTACTATTTCAAAAGCGAAAAGTAGTTCCCCGAAGCCCCTAACAGTAAAGTAAATAAAAAAAACCCATAAAAACAAAATCCTTAAAAATGATATTAAAAAGGTGAGCGCCCACTGCTGCTGGACTGAAGACCCGGTAAGTAAAACAGCTTTATCTGAGCCACCTAGACAAAATGAATATTTAACACTTGCAGTGCAGGGAAAGCCTAAATGCAAGGGTAAGTTTTTATTTTTTAATTGCTGGAGTTCTTAAAAATAACGTTCCAGACAGTTTTGCGGATTTGTAATCAAAAGCATATAGGATTCTTCTAGATTAATTTGCTTCTAATATGCATCACAAGAGCAAGCTGTGTGACCATTACAAGCCTAATACTCATGCGGATCATTAAAAGCATCCAAAAAAAAAATCTAAATATACAAAAAATTGTCACCACAACCCATTTGCAATAACTCAATTCTTGTTCTAGGGAGGAAAACGCATTTATATATCCACCCAGTGCAGTTTGACTGAGCGTCTGGCTCCAGCAAGTAAGAGGTTACTTGTAAAGAACCAAACAAACACATTGTAAAACAGACAGGAAGGAAGAGTTTACTGAAGTCGGAGTGCATTCCCACTAAGGAGTCCAGCTGCGATGCAGGGATTATTCGACTTGAGCTGTACAAACAAGGAGTGTCTTTGGCAATCCATATTTCATCTTTTCAGAAAAAAAAACACTCCCACTCATTGCTATGTCAACACAGGCTGGAGATTTTGTTTTGTCTCCAAGAACATTTCGAGAACTAGAGATCTGCACCGCTGTACACAAGGGCTGCCGCTGTATGCAAAGAATGCATGATTTCAGGCCGTAGTCTCTGTGTGCAGCAGATGAATATACAACCTGTCAATAGTAAACGTCACACTTAAATGAACAATCTCGGGGTCAACCAACCAACGTGTTTTACAAGTCTGTACAGAAAAAGAGATGACTTTCCCCTAGAGCAAGGAAGGTCCTCGGTACCTTTCCCTCCATAAGGCGGTGCTTGTACCTGCTCGCCATGCAGCATTCCAAGAGCTGCAGGCAGAACTTCAAAGCGTTCGGCTCTCACCAGGCTCTCAAAATGATTTAAACTCCAGCAACACAAACAATATCTCATGCTTAGGAAACAAACAGCCCTGAAGAACTTCTTGTACTTGATGTTTTACCGGGAAGACGGCAGCAAGGGACTGCAGAGGCTCGGCACAACATGGAACTTC